AGAGAGAGAGAGAGAGAGAGAGAGAGAGAGAGAGAGAGAGAGAGAGAGAGAGAGAGAGAGAGAGAGAGAGAGAGAGAGAGAGATTTACCTGCGATAGCAACAGTGTGCTCCGATCCTGCTCCAATCTCAATGACTTTTCTTGTATCCAGCGGCCCTCGTACTCGTACCATTTCACTCGTTGTGTCAGTCTGCAAGATGTTAGGAGATAGCATCTCTGTCCACTCCCACCAGTTTCCCGTGGATGCTCGCCTAGTGGGTTTCCGAGGTTGGTTCGGGGATTGTGGATGCCCATCAGTGCTTTGCAATGCCTGTTCTGCTGGGTTAATGTCCCTAAACACCAGCCTAGTTAAATCTACCGTGTTGACTGCGCTTTGGCTGGGTATAATCTCGGCGGGTTGGCCATCTGCAGCCGATCTCATGGGGCTCCTTCCCCTCACCAGTCCTGGGTTCACCTGCTTTACCCCTGATGGTGCTGGCGGAGACGATTCAGAAGTAGAAGTTATGGTACTTAAATTGAACTGTCCACGGGCATCCCCTCCCGATACTGAATCTGAAGATTCCAACTTGGCCAGAGTGTTGATTGGCACTGATGGTGGTGTGAGTGGCATTCTGAACGGCGATAGTGACGTCGTGAGTGGCATCGTGAATCGTCGACCCCCCTGTCTAGCATTTGGCGACAGCAGTCTACTGTCTATGCTGCTCATGTCTTGCTGCTCAAGCGATACTGATCTGGGGGTTTCCGCAATGGATAATGACCATTTTGCCCCCCTCATGCCTTCCCTGGCGGATCGGCTGCCTACATTGCCGTCAAGGCTTGTGATGAAGCGAAATGGCCGCCATGCATATGGGCTGAACTTAGCACTGGTGCTTGGCCAGCCGGTGTCAGGCGATACAGCAGATAAACTTTGTGCCCGATACTTGTCCGCACCTCCCCTGCCCTGTACTGTAGAAGAGGGACTCAGTGTCTTTGCTGAGTACTGTTGGGATCGACTTGGCATTTGGAACGACGCTGGTGGGGGGCTGAGCGTCCTTGATCTGCGTCTGTTACCGGTGGGTCTTGATAGCCTCTCAACAACTTGGTTCTCGCGGTGATCAAGAATGATTCTTGCCCCAATTGCACTCACACTCCTTCGCCGCTGCATCGTCGATTCCCTTGACGCTAGGCCTGTTCGACTTCCCAGTTGAGCTGGTGCTTCACCGCCACTGTGCACGCCGAGTCCCGTTGAGACTGACGGAGACGGCGATGTACTAGGCCTCTCCTTAGCCGGCGCTGTGCCTGGAGATGTCGAGGGGGGATCTGGTTTGGGTGTAGCAGCCGGGTTTGTCGTTAGCGACCGCCGGTCCGATTGTGGGGAAAGCGATAGAGCAATGGAAGGAGAAGCAGTATTTCTCTGCGAGGAGCTCTCTCTCACTCCGTAACTTGCTGACTCTCGTCTCTTTTCTGGAGATGAGATTCCTGAACCTGGTTTCGGCAACGAGTTGGGCGGTGGGCTCTTGATGACTACGCTCCACAGATCATCAGAAGCAGCTTGTCGATCGCCAGATCCTGATTCTTCACCTTTATTGATGGGAGGAACACCTAGCTGTCCATATGTGTTGCGCCCCCAAGTCCATACATGCCCTTGCTCTTAGACACCACACATGAAACACATTGATCACAACAAGAAAGACTTGCGGTGAGAGATACGAAGAGAGGACAGCCTATTGTGCTAATAGTTGGGAAAAGACCGTCCATGAATCTGTTCAAATGTTGTTGTTGTTGTTTTAAATCAAAAAGTTAATTTGCTTGGAATGATTTGAAGAGTTCTCTTTGGGCACGTTGTGTGTACCGCTTTCTGCCTGAATCAGTGAGCTATTTAGCTATAACTATCGCTTCCGCCAATGGGGTCGGTTACAACACTACCGTCTTCATCCGAATCGAACGCCCGATCATTATCGCCGTATTTGGGGCAACATCCAGTCCAGCTGCAGCAATAGCGATCAGGTGTTCTATTCAGGTGAAGACTGTAGGTTGCGAACTAGCGTTATGTACTGATGGTTTTGACTACAGAGAACAAGAAGAAGACAAGTACCAGACCAAAGAAAGAACGATAATGCATTCTTTCTTGCACTAGCTGCATCAGTAACGATATCACTACTAGTAATAGTAGTGGAAGAAGAACAACAATACTGCTAGTAGTTGGACTAGTAGTAGTGAAGGAAGAAGAAGAAGAAGAAGAAGAAGAAGAAGAAGAAGAAGAAGAAGAAGAAGAAGAACGACGACACGAAGAAGAAGAAGACGAAAGACGACGACGACGAAGATGCCGATGCCGATGAAGAAGAAGAAGAAGAAGAAGAAGAAGAAGAAGAAGAAGAAGAAGAAGAAGAAGAACGACGACAACGAAGAAGAAGAAGACGAAAGATAACGACGACGACGATGATGACGACGACGACGACGATGACGACGACGATGACGACGACGACGAAGAAGAAGAAGAAGAAGAAGAAGAAGAAGAAGAAGAAGAAGAAGAAGAAGAAGAAGAAGAAGAAGAAGAAGAAGAAGAAAGTAGACATTTTCATTTCTGTGCCAAGAACTGAGGTCAGATGAGTACAGAATAAGCCTTGGGATCGCAGCTTTTGGTCAAGCCGGAGTTCTTTAGTCAAAAGCTGGCCTTGGATCCTTTAGACAGGCTCAAGAAAGTCCTTAGGTGGGTAGGCCTGGAGTCGAGGGTTAAAATGAGGAGCCCAGGGTCTCAACAAGTCAAACTAGGACCTAGGGGAAAATGAAGTCAACAGTCATGCCCAACCGGGGTAGAGAAGTTTAAGAGTCCAAGACTTCTCAGAAGTCGACCACGCCCACAGATAACACACAATTCCAAAGGGCCAGTAGAAGCTTCCAGAGCTTGCTGGCTCAGGACACTCGGACCGCGCAACCAATTCTTGGCCGCACAGAGGGAGAAACCTCAGCCACCCAATGAGGCAACCTGAGGCAGGCCAGGCCGAGCCAATAATACTATAAAAGCTCGGCCTGCCCCAGCTCATCCATTCATTCTGCATCGCACTGTCTTGAGGCTGGAGCGCTGCTGAGCAAGTGTTAGGGAAGGGAGAAGAAAGCTGGGAGAAAGAACGGGATTGAGAGTGAAATTTATAGTATGACTGAGAGTGGCTGTAGCTAGAGTAGAAGGCCCACATACACCATAGCTTTGTATTAGAGAGAGTGACGTTTGAGGAAGTGATTGTATATATTTAGTGTCTTTTATAATTTTCAAAAAAACAAACTGGTATCGAAATCTGTCTATAACTATCAACAGAAAAAAAAAAACAATTCTTCCATTCTATTGGCTTGCGAATTATCATAATCGTTTTTATTTATCTCAATATAATTTAATTAACAGTAGCAATCAATTTTCTCATATTGATATACATAAAGATACAAAATTGACCAGTAAGAGAGAGAGAGAGAGAGAGAGAGAGAGAGAGAGAGAGAGAGAGAGAGAGAGAGAGAGAGAGAGAGAGAGCGGGAATTCAGGAAGGAAAAATAACGCACTTAAAAGAAAAGAGAAACACCAATCCAGCGACTGGGACGTCGCCCAAGGGTATCGCTCCACTACCCTCCGCATCCACAAAAGACAAGAAATATGGCGGTGTATCCTTCCAACTTCTAGCGGAAGATTCATTCTCATTTTAACACATTTGGAGAGTAGCGGAGCGAGGCCCGCTGTCAGGTATCCACGGGCAGTAACATGGGGCGGCGGCAAGAGTTTGTGTATTATTGTTTTTTCTTTGAATTGCCGGGTGGAATAGGAACCGGACTGACGCTCCCGCGAATGGATATGGAGCTGGGCCTGGAGGGCCTGCTTACTTCTTTTTTTTTTTAAGGAAAAAAATGTGCAAGGAAAATGAGAGATAGCGAGATGACAGACTCCAGATAGCACAATCACATTGAAAGCAAGAAAGTCCCACAGTGTCCAGATAAGCAGCATTGCACCAATATTACACTAATGGAGAATCGAAACATTGAAACCGAATGTCAATGAGAGCTTTACTCTCGTCCCCACCAACATACGTATCCAGGCCCTCTCCCTACTTGACGCTCGGCGCCCAGGCTACTCCCTACACAGCTACTTCCTGCCTACGAATTGACAATGCAACTGTTGACGTCAGCAGCCACCGAAGTACTTGAAGATGTCGACCAATGCAGGCCATCGCCATTACCAGGTATGCGCCCTCACATCATCATCCTCATCTCTTTCACTCTCTCCCTATCCTTGTCTTCCTCCCACGTCTTCTCCCTTACGCACGAAGACCACCACCACCTCCACTGGCTGTCTAAGCCAAGCCCTGGCTATGTAGGGCTGGCTATGGCGCTGCCCTCGGCAGCGCCTTGCCTTCTTCCAGCGCCCACGTGCACTGCCTGGCAGCTAGCGCTAGCGCACAGCGCACAGCCTGTGAGCGCACGCTCAAGCAGCGCTGCCGCATGCACTGCCTAGTGCCCGAATCCTCCACCAGTGGCGAGCTCTTTCCTTTATGGAAAGTGCTCGCCCAGTCTGCTCCCTGGCTGGGCCTCGTTTATTTCCAGTAGCTTCCAATTGGGCCAAAGTGTCTGCGCTCAGGCCCATTCAGACAGTGGCCTGGGACCGAATTGGTTGAGCCTGCCCAACCACCCAGGAGTAAACGTGAGGTTCTCCCTGCTTCGCCTGTGCTGCTGGAAGAGCCTAGAAGGCTCAAGAGTTATTTCTGATTCTCACGAGTATGGAGGATGTAACCAACCGGCGCATGGCAACTGTCTGGCGCCCACCAAAGTTTGCCAAAATTGACGAACTCAGGCCATATTGAAATTCAGGGCCCGCCTTCACTTAGGGCGGGCTCATGCTTGCTGAAAGGGCCCTACAGGGGCATGCCAAGGAGCCAACTCGTAACAAGGCCTTGTCGAAGATCCGTGCCCACATGGGGTTTACAACAGGCTCTGCTTGGGCCCCTCAGCCTGGTCTCGTAGCCCTATAAACAGGCATTGGCACATATTTGCAGGCCCACCTTCACTTAGGGCGGGCACGGCACTTTCAGACACTGCCGAGGAACTAAATCCTCGCAAAGGGAAAAAAGGGGAAAAAACTTCAAAAAAGGGAAAAAAGGGGGGGAAAGGGGAAAAAGGGGAATAAGGGGAACAAGGGGAATAAGGGGAAAGAACAGAAAAAAGGGGGACAAAAAGGAAAAAAAAACTTTTACAAAGAAGGAAAAAAAAGAAAGAGAAGAAAGAAGAAGAAGCGACAAACAGGGAACTCAGGAAGGAAAAATGATGCGCTTAAATGAAGTTTAAAAGGGCCTTTACCCGATGCAGGCCTCAGGCCTTGTAAAAGTAAAGCAGCGTGAAAGGGTATCTCGCCAGGGCTCCGAAACGTGAAAGCAGGTCAAAGGTCAAGTTCTCTATCAACAGGCACGTCCAAATCTAAAGCAAAGGGCATTGTCAAAAGACTTACCTGTTCGCTAGGAGATGTGCATGTCATGTCTGTTCAGAATAAGGTGCGTCTGTGCGTGCAGTCAGTGCACCTGTTCGTGCAAAGAAGAGTGTCTATTCACACCTTGGGAGTGTCTGTTCAGGCAGTGAGTGTGTCTGTTCGTCTAAAGATGTGCCTGTCCGAAAGTAAGTCAATAGGTAAAGTCGGTAAAGTCCCAGTTCTGGTCTAAGTCCAGGGGACAGTCCAGATCCAGACTTTCAAGTCCAAATCTAGGCCGAGAGGCCTCAGCAGCAGTTGAACTTCATTGGGACTGTACTGGGGCACATGCAATGCAGGGTCTGGGACAAAGAAAAGGCTGAACTGAGCCAATGCAGACCCAGCGAGGAGAGGCCAGCACTATAAAGGCAGCAGCCAGCCTCATTCCTCGCCAGATCTCCACTGGCATTCTGTGCGTGGAAGTGCTGAAGCACTTGTGCGCCAGTCAGTAGGAGCAGCGCTGGAGGATGCAGATGCGCTGGGAGAAGGAAGAAGACTGTGCGCTGGAAAAGAATGCAGCCATAGCTGCCCAGCGAGTTAGTATAGACTTAGAGGGTTAGTGGTAAAGAGCTATGCGTAGTATTCAGAGTAGGTACTCATGAGTGAAGAGTGTGTATGCATCGTAGGAGGAAGGGACTGAGGCAGAGAGTGTTCATTCAAGGTTTGGCTATGGAAGATACTTACCTGAGTTGGATGGGAACTGCAGAGGTGGCGCTGATGAGTAGTGACCACATTGATGACTTGGAGACAATCTGCAGGAGTAGCGCTGATGTATTGGAAGTCATATTGATGAGTTGACAAGGGATTTGCATTGCGCTGATGAGTGCTGGACTCAGGGAACTACTAATCATTGTGCGAGTCTGATGCATGACATATACACATTTGCGTGAGATGGTCCCCAGGACCCATGCAAGTTAAATTTCTAAAATAAAAAGAGAAAACACCAATCCAGTCCATTGGGACATCCGCTAAAATTGGAACTATATAGAGAAGATTAGCATAAGGCTATAAGCCTTTACAATAATAATAATAATAATAATAATAATAATAATAATAATAATAATAATAATAATAACAAAAAAAAGGGAAAACAAGAAACACCAATCCACTCACCAGAGAGTGCAACACCATGGTTCCAACCAAGAGCGACTTGATGCCAGCGAACACCCTTTCCAAAGCGAACAGGAGAGGGCAAGTCTTCACTGTCATTGAACCCCTTGCCCCAGAGGTGCAGCTCCCCATTTGCTGGCCCAAACCATGCCACAATAGGAAAGACAGCATTACGGCTATTTCAGTCCCAGGGCCTTCAAACGATACTCTCTCACAAAACGCAACATGTTTCACAAGCTTTATGCACAGGTCATAACTTCGCTGAAAATGCCAGATTTGAATACACAGTCCATTCAACAGAAGCCTGTGGATAGCCATCCATGGCTGCCATGCTGCAAAAAATTGCAGACCTCAGGGCTCAGGCCCAGACAAGTACATAATTAAAAGACCAGAAACGCACCTAAGGAACACTCGCACCTGCACGCACACACACACACACACACACACACACACACACACACACACACACACACACACGCACACACAAAAAAAAAAAAAAAAAAAAAAAAAAAAAAAAAAAATCAGTTTTGTCAGTCTTTCTTCTGTTGTATGTCCTCCCCTTGATTTTTTCTATGTATTTTTTTGTATCCCCAACTGAGCACCCTTGAGTAGTGCCAAACAGTCGGTGGTTCCTCATTTGGAGTGCCTACTGCACTCTTATGGGGGCCGCTCAGTTCGGGATGTCTGTATTGCCTGTAGGTGATGGCGGATGTTCGTCGGAGTGACTCCCTGGCTCAGTGGGTGGTGGGAACCAACAGTCTGCGGGGTTCAACTGTGGTCTACCAACCCCGGCCAATCCGCCCTGCCACCCACACGGCAGGGGTCTGTGCCCACAGGCCCCGAACTGCTGACAGAGACCCCGCAAACCCACCCACCTCCTTGCGATTCAAAGCGGATAGCACCTCCCCACACTCTTCATACAAAAACACCAACTCCCACCACGATGCTGTTTTCACTAACCAGGGGATTACCCCACCTCCCACGCGGCAGGGGCCAAAAAGCCCCACAAAACCCACCCACCTCCTTGCGATTTAGGGTAAGCCCCTCCCTCAATTCTGCATACACCCCTACAGATGCTTCCCCGCCCTCCATGATGAAGCCCCAGTGGAGCAATGCTCACCATTCTGCCTCAAGAATTCAGATGACAGCAGGACACCAGCCTATTAAGATGAAATGAATACCTGACCCAAATTCAACGTCTC